TTTTTGGATATCCCTAAGATATTTACTATATCCTTGGTGGATATCCTCAAGATATCTATAGGATTGTGTTGTGTTATATGGGTAAGTATACAGGATGGGTCACTGAAAACTTACAATGGCTATAATTTTTAAACCAAAAAAGATGTCAAAAATATAAAAAAAATATCGTTTCTATAATATCGAGGGGGAATATATATATGACGTATTTTTTGAACCACCCCGACCTACCCCTTAGGTGGCACCCCTACTCACATGAAAATCTTAAATCAACTTGTGGCGCCTTTTTGGAAAACCCAGATAAAGTGCTAAACGATGGTCATACAGTTTTTAGAGTGAAATTGAAAAACTACCCCTTACACGAAAAATTAGGTGGACATTAACGAAAAAAGTGTTTTTTCAACATAAGTTACAGTTTGACAAATATAGGAAGAGACTTGGGGATGGCACCGGTCGCGCACACGATAGAGAGAGAACACATTCGGCGGAAGAGAGATGCAGTTACGCTACGAAAAATCTGATTGAAGCAAATTTGTGGGATGTCCACTGCGCATCGAGGGGCGTCTCTTATTTTATATTTCTCACGTCTCTAGCTGTACTTGTTAAGTTGTACAAAATGGGATCCAGCTAAATGAGGCAAATGAGGTATTTTTCAAACCACCCCGACCTACCCCTAGGTGCCACCCTCACTTCTGAATGGTATTTTGAAACCATTGCCATTTTGAAGCTAAAAATAAAAAATGTAGATAATAAAAAAGGCAACACAAAGATGTTTTACTAATCGTTCATCGTTTCAATCGTTTGCAAATTTGGTGGTATTTTAAATCTTTATTTGATTCGCTTATTTGAAAGAAAAATGGTTTATACTGTAGAAGAAATAATTCAGTAGTTTTTCTTTACGGTGCTGAAGGTATGTGCTATTTGAGAACGGCCCGTGCTTTCAATGAGAGAAATCCGGACAAAAACGCAAGTCACGTATATGTTAGAGATTTGATTCAAAGTTTCAAGAAACTGGATCGGTCAAAAATAAAAGAAGGACAGGGCCCAGGGTACTGAATGAAGAAATCCAGATGGAAGTTATTGGTCAGGTATCGGTCAATCCAGAAGCATCAACATAGGTATTGTTGGCATCAATCATAGGTATACCTCGAACATCTGTCAGAAGAGTATTGAAAATGCACAAATTCCATCCCTACAAAATGAAAATTCTGCAGGCGACGACGATCCAGATAGAAGGATTCAGTTCTGTGAACTAATGACGGAGGAAATTCGAAGGGAACCTTCACTCACTAAAAATATTTGTTTTAGTGATGAGTGCTCATTTTTTTAAACGGAAATATGAATAAGCAGAACTGCAGATACTGGAACGATGAGAATCCGCATATTGTTGCAAAAGCTCAATGTTGTGTGGGTGCGGAATACTAGACGATAAAATTATAGGTCCATTTTCATCGACGGAAATTTGACTGGTGATGCTGATGTGGATATGCTGAACAATTTGATAGACCCAGCCATTGTATATGAGGTTGAAAATCAAAGAGATTTGGAAGGAAATTTAACTCTTAACGGAGACCTCATACACTTCAGCAAGATGGAGCCCCTCCGCATTATTCTATTGTCACAAGGCGGTGGTTGAATAGATATTATCCAAGGCAATTGACCGCCAAGGTCACCTGATCTCACTCCTTTAGATTTTTTCTTGTGGGGTTACACTAAATCCATAGTCTACAAGACAAAACCAGGTTCGTTGCAAGAATTGCGGCAGAAGATAACTGAAGCACGAAATATTCTGAGAGAGACTTTCCAAAAAGTGAGAGAAGAATTTGAAAATCGTTTGTATTTTTGTATAGAACAAAACGGCTGTAATTTTGGGCAATTGTTAAAATAAATAATTTTAAATTTCTTTCAAATTGTCACACCTATATTTCTTATCACTACTTACCAGTAATTAAGTTGAAGTCTGTATGACCATCGTTTAGCAATTTCAATTAGATTTTCAAAGAAGTGTCACATGTGGGGTATCGCTATCTTGTGATTAGAAGTGAGGGGGTGGCACCTAGGGGGTGGGTCGGGGTGGTTTGAAAAATACCTCATTTGCCTCATTTAGCTGGTTCCCAATTTGTAACTTATGCTGAAAAAATCAATTTTTTCATTAATGTCCACCTAATTTTTCGTGTAAGGGGTAGTTTTTCAATTTCACCCTAAAAACTTTATGATCATCATTTAGCATTCATGGGCTTTCCAAAAAGACGCCACAAAGTGAGTAGGGGTGCCGCCTAAGGGGTAGGTCGGGGTGGTTCAAAAAATACGTCATATGTATTCCCCCTCCATATTATAGAAACGGTATTTTTTATTATTTAGTTATCATTTTTGGTTTAAAAATTATAGCCCTTGTAAGTTTTCAGTGGCCCACCCTGTATGTGAAAATTCTAAAGAAAATTAAAATGTAAACATTTTGATATCTTCAGAAAGTCTAAATTGTATTATTCAAGCTAGTAAAACTTTTTAAGTGAGTTCAACTACTGTTTGACCAGCGGATCTGAAGCTACGGAAGGAATACGAGAAAAAAAATCGATATTGCCACGTTTATCTATAAAATTGCAAAATTGCCAGACATGAACTATAAATTTAATATATTTTTATTATATATAATGTGTTTAGCATATATTCTGACGTATATTACTAAGGAATTTTAACGTAGTTCATATTGATCGATATGTTTTATTTAATAACTTATTTCTTTCATTCTGTATAATCTGCTTATTATGAAAGTTGAAGATTTTTCAACGATATCATTGGCAAACCGGCATCGCCGCGCATGGCCGCCTATTCATCGAACATGATTGGCGAAGTACGTCACAGGATTTGTTACCACGCGGTTGCCATGGCTTTTACGCCTTTCCTATTCGCTTGCTTTATCCCCAACTTCACGGTCTCTTCTGAAAAGAGTAGGAATATTGAATACTATTGAAATATCCAGTGGCGGTGTCATTTTTTTGATCATTATTACTTTATTTCATTATTTTATACCGGTTATCCTAAACTTTATTCCTATATTTTTAGTATATTTGATAGTTAAGTTGTGTTTTATTGTTTTGTTATCTTGTTATAATGTTTTTCGTTCGTAGTTTTTAATTATTAATATCAAGTTTGATCGTATATTTGTGTTTTAAAACGAATAAATTTGTTAAGGGTAAGACGCTACATAGTCAGACAAGAGAAATAATAGCTAATTTATATAGGTAAGTTAATAATAACGTGGATGAAATCTCATTTGGTGTATTTCCTTGTGTTCATAATAGGGTTTGCGATGAAGAAGCTACAGAGAGTTCGCTTGAGTTGCCGCTTAAACGTAAACTTGAGCGGATATTTCTTTATACCGGAGTTAGCGTATCGGCTATAAAAAAATTCACACAGAAGATAAAAAAAAGGCTGAAAACTAACCCCGATAAAATGATATCCTCTCTGGAAAGAAACGACCACGTGAGACTGCTGTCGAAAAGCTCAACGACTTTTTCGAAGTGGTCAGGAATTTGATAAATAGATTTTATCTCGAATTCAAACTCGTCCCCACAATTAGAAAGCTTTTGCAAAAATTGCAGGAAGAATCGAATTTTCCTTTTGCAGGGAAACGCTTAGGGGGTTATTAAAATCAAATGAATTTTTTTGGCGTAAATGTTAAAATAACAGATAAATATTAATGGAGCGGCCCATTATATTGCAGAGAGAGATATAAATATATATACGCGAAATTCGAAAATATAGCCAAGTATTATCTATTTGGATGTAACATATGGGTAGACAATGACCTAACCTTTAAAAACTGCTGGCGGAGCGATACCATATCTGGTGTAATAGGCAATATCAGATCTACTGATGAGTAAAATTATGTTTTGTTTGCGCTTCCAAAGTTAACTATTTTCAAGATTTTTTTTTGCTGGAAATAGTTATATCTAAAATTATGTATTATAGAAAAAAATATAGTTAGTACAGATATATAAATAAATATACCTCAAGACTCAGTCTTGATCATCTGCTGATGGCAGACATGGTTAGCGAAACGTGCGTCCAGTGTAAAATTAAAAGTGTTTTGGTGTATTGTACTGATTTAGTGTTTTATTTTGCTGTGTAACACCAAAGGTTCCAACCCCCAGCTGTAATTATTTCTTCTATTATATTAACAACACAATAATAAAATGATTCAAAATATTTAAGGGAGCTTTAATAAAAGCTTTTAGTGTTTATCTGCTAACTCAACAGTAACGATTCAAACAGCATAAAGTTTTTTGAAAAAAATTATTAATCTGAGTATTATATTTATGATACACATTATTTTCATATAACACCGTACGCCCATGCCTATTTTATGAATGAAATTGGGCGTGTTTTGTTTACAACTGCGTTCCCCTGCCGATACCCCGTAGCTACAGATCCGTTGGTCACACTATACGGTAGCTAGCATAGTTTTACGCATCGGTTTTGCTAGTGGGAACTTAACTAGGGTTATTTGGGCTATAACGAAATTTTTTAAAGGTATAATTATAATTTTAGATGTTCATAAAACATTTAAGCACTAGTTGATTATATCGATCAAATTATATTTTATCTTCTCACAGTATATGCCTATTTATTTGTTTGTTTATGTAATGGACACTTGGTTTACTCACTTGTTTCGTAGAATTGCTTGAATCCATTTTCACTTTTGATCAAACCAGTGTGAGAAGCTGTGAAGCTATAAAGTGTTGTTTCGGGAGTATTTTTGTGCCGGGAGAGTATTAATTTTTACACGTTTTATGTCAATTTTTAGTAAATGACGTTTAGGGATTGTCCTCGCCAAAATTATTATCGGCTGTCATTCCCCAGCCGTCTTTGACGTCGTTTTTTTGTCGATCATATGGTACTTTATCCATGAATTATATGTATTTATATAAAGGTAGTTCTGTTATAATAAAAGACAAATCTACAAAGATTTGTTACAACTATTACTAAAACACTTTTATTATAAGAAAGAATAACGAAAACAAAGGTTATCTTAATTGACTACCAACTGCCAGTCTCCAGTTTCTCTGTTCGGTTCTTCTTGTGCTGCCTTATGTTTCTGAAACATTTCCACAATCCGTACCGCGCCTCCCAGTCCTCGAAAAATAGTTCCGGCTTGTTCCACAAAATGTGATGCTGGGCGTACTTATAAACAGCTTTCAACGGTGGGTTCAGGTGGGGAGCCAATTCTGATCTTCTATCGCTGATGAGCGCTACATAACTGTAGAACACCTATAAACAATACACACTGAGTGGTACCGTTGATTGAAAAAATAAGAAGATGCGCAACTTTAAGGGCGATTTTTCGTGACACAAAACCTGTCCGAGATGTAGCCGGCGTTACCGTCTGCCTGTCCGAGAATTCCGATTCATAGATTCAAAATAAGTTAATTGCACATAATTTACCTATATACAAAAGTGCTTCGTTTGTCCGTTAGAGGGCATCAATGAAAAATAAACAAACGGTAATTATTTTTAAATTTATTATTTTTTTTAAGGTTATTTTCGAATATAATTTGTGATACTAAGATAAAATTCTATATTTGCACTAACTAGATTATTAGAGCAAAATAAATTTTATGCTTTTATTCGTCTTCATATTTTGAGGTGACGAAAAACATTTTTTGGAAGTCAGCTTCGGAAAAATATTTTTTTTTTCAAAAAGTATGAGCGGTGGCGTTTTTTTACAAGAGACAAGAAATGTAGCAGGTACCTAAGGACTGTATATATTCTAAAGGACTGATCGATCGCGTCAAATCGCCGCTGTCGTGTCGCCGTGGAATGCTACGTCACGCGCTGACCAGCGCTCCACAGTGCGGCGGATGGTTATTCTAGCGGGACAAAATCTCAAGAGCAATGTTTGGGACTTAAAATCTAAGAACGTAGCAAATGGTCTAATATATAGCAACTATATGGTTAAATTTATTTATTTATTAACAAATTAATTTATTAATAAATAAATACAAGATAATAAAACTATGATATTATTCGTACATGACACACAAAAACCGTATTGTAAACTATTGCCAAATACATAAAATTATGATATCAAAAAACTTTTTAGCAGTTTTTTTTAATTAATTTGTAATCTTGTGGCACCCTCTATAATTTATTTTAAAAAAATATGTTTTATTTTAAAAATAATAAATAAGATAGATATTTTAATTTTAATTTTAACACTCGGTAATTGTAAATTCATATATAGTAAGTATCTAAGACAATTTTTTAAACTCAGTGCCTTTTGATGGAGTTGTTTTGTTTTTATACTATCCGATTGAAATGAATCTTTTGGGCATTCACCTGTTAAGCTTGAACTCCCTGTGACTGTGACTACCTGTGTTGGTAACTATTGGTAACTCAAAAGATCTACATCATTCAATATATCGATATTTGAAAAAAAGTGAAAGTTTGATATCTGCAGAACAAAGGCACGAAGGATTTTAACAAATAATATAGGTACAGTAGAAAAGTACATACATTTGGCAATCTTCAACATAATTTGGCTTTCTAATAAAATGTATAAGCACTTGTAAATATTTTGTTTTCGTATGATCTCTGCCTTGCTGAGCAGAAAACGACCAAATTTGGTTGATAAAAATGTATCAAAACACAAAGAATATTCATACATTTTTGTATCAATTGGAATGTCTATTATTTATTCTTATCAGTACACATTTTTTGGCTTATTTCTAACCAAGCGCTTTTGTCCCGCTAAATTTATCTTCCAACGCACTGTGCGCTCGTCCGTCAAATGCAAAAATAACTGTCACTGTCTAAAATCTTTAGCGCCAACTTCAACTCGGTCAGTAGATGACGTAAAAAAACTGACAGTGCAGGAAGATAGGAATCGAACTATCCTTATCTCTATAGTATCCTTGGCAGGTACCAACATACTAGAAGGACCATTTTACGAAAAAAAATCGGTTGTCGGTTGAGTTGGAAAATATTTATACTAAAATTTATTTAGGGGTGGGGGTAGTTGTCACCGTTCCTGTACTTTTTCTTGATTTTTGTAAAAGTAGAATGTTAAAACACTTAGCAAAATATAGACACCCAAAATCTTATTCCAATCGGAATAACGGTTCTTAAAATATCTGAAAAATTGTCTGTGCCATCTCTCGTGGGGAGATTCCTCACGTAAAAATAAGATTTATTTTTCATATCAATATATAGGTCCGATTCTGCTATGTTTCGTAGGGACAGGGTGTTAAAATCTTAATATTTTTTCGATTTATTATAATTTTCTTCCAAGTAGGTACTTTTAGCGTTTCGAATGAAATTTTCAAGGTAAAAGTCAATATGATATCATCCGATTCAGTGTCGATGTCGAGTGCCGATGCATCGATAAGTGGTTCACGGAATACGGTCCGTTAGGCCTGGACTATATATGAATGACAGCTTTAAGTATCTATTTTTCTTAAGAGCGACCCTGCGAGGTCCCATCTAAACCCTAATGTAGGTAGATTCATCTTGACCGTTGTAACGTACACATCTTTTTGTATTCTTATTGTTTTTCGCCTTGCTATTTTTTGTGTTAAAGTGAATAAAGTTAATTAATTCTAACTAAGTTAACTTCACTGAAGTATTTTTCTAAAAAAAGCATGTAGGTACGCCACTGACTTATTTTCTCTTGTTAGCGAAATAGTGTAAGCAGTTTAATGCCGAATAAAAATTGTATTTTGATATTTTGTCGATTTCGACCTCCTTGATCAGAGAAAGGCAATTTTATTAATTTGCCTTGATTCAAGTCATTTTTAATAACTCATTAACTTGCGAAAGTTTCAAATAAGTACTTATTGATTCCTCATCAAAAAACATTAAAAAAAATATCAAAAGAAAAAAGTCAGTGGCGCACATGTTTTTTTTAAATATCCAGTGATTACCCATATGCACGTCCTTGATGAATTTATCGACTCTTTTTTAGCATTAAAATATGTAGCACATATGGTTAACTTTTACCCTCAAAATTTCATTCGATTCACTAAAAGTACTTGGAAGAAAAATATAATAAATCGAAAGATTATTTAGGCTTTAACACCCTGTAGCTACGAAACAAAGCAGAATCCGACCTATGTTGATATGAAAAATAAATCTTATTTTTATGTGAGGAATCTTCCCACGGGAGGTGGCACATGTTTTTTGGGAACACCCTGTATATTAGTCTTCCAAAACAGTTCCAGAAAGTGTAGGCTACGAGACCACCCAGATAGAGGTGTAATAACACGTGTTTTAATTTCATAAAAGTAGGACACACGAGGCGAGAAGGCCATCTCCAGAAAATCTAAGCGATATCTTAAAGATGAATTATCAAATGTGGCCGCGACCAGCCGCCGAATTCTACCGGCCACCTGCACGCTATTAGGGCCAAAATTTATAGCTTATTTTCCTATAAAAACTGGGAGTCTTTCGAGATCAGGATCCATCGTAATTATACAGTTCAATAGAGTTAAGATAGAAAAAATCGTAACTTCTCAAGACGACTGGAAATAGCCAATTTATAACAATATTTTTTTGGATATATCACAATTAATTATTTAATATTATTTTATTACAGAAATATAAAAAAAAACTTACATTTGCTCCGAATATGTAGCACACCAATGACATAAGGGACATTACGATAGCGTGTACGTGATGGCAGGCAACCATGTTCTCATGGTTAGTGGTCAAGATAAACTCTTGCATGCTCATGGCCAAGCAAACCATACTCGAAGCGACATATGAACAAGGTATTTCTACGCAAGTAACCGCCATCAATCCATAAATATTTTCCAAATTAATCCTAAATATATAAACTTGGTGAGAATTAAAAATATTGTTTTGTATGATAAACAGATCCTACTGGTGAGATTAGTATTGCACACCCAACTAGCAAATATAGTTCCCAGTCCTTTTTAAAATGTCACTCCCCCTAAAATATAGCTCCTAGGCCCACTCTCCCACTTAAAATGTTACTCAATAAGGAATAGTCACTTTGAATATATCGAGTAACCGGTTAGTGCCTATATACCTACCATAAAAGTGGAAAATAAACACCCCGATTGCAAGTCGCAAACATGTAATTTAAATAAGTGGCTGGAACTACCCGAATCTTCGAATATGACACCATAAAAGACCAAAAACTTTATAGTAACTTTCCAAAGTAGGGCCCAACTAGCATTTATAGTGGCAGATACGTAACTGCTACTATCAAAGCCACTACAAAGTGGGCGGTGACCATCGGCGGCTACGTCGCACATTGGTTCAGATCATAGACTTAAAATAAAATATAGACTGAGCATCTCATTCATAAATAGCTGGAACATGCGGTCAGACAATGTCTTGTTATTGTTGTGTTATTGTTTTAGGTTATAACGAGTGCGACACGAGCGATAGATAGCTTGTCTCTGTCGTAACGGTCGTTCTCTGACGACTCTGCCGAGAAACACAACACTGTCTTTCGTTTCTCAAGTACACCTGAACTCTCCGTATCATAGCCGGGTAATTTTTTTATTTTAATGAAGCTATAATTAAATTAAAAATATATCGTATTTAAACTTTTTTATATTTTATTAAGATTTAGGACAGGTTCTTTTTAAATAAAAGTTTAGAAAAAACGTCTTAGAATCCAAAAAGGATAAAAATAATAAAATACACGTTATAGAAGAAATTTTATAATCGAAATTACGCAATCTTTGAAATTAATAATAAATTATTAATTTTAGTCAAACATTTACAACACCTAATATTAATCAAAACAGGATCTATTCCACAGATATAATAGAATCGGCGACAGGGAGAAAAAAAAATATGATTGTAATTTTTTTTCTGGTTAGGTGATGTCTTATTATGTAAATTAGAGAAAACATAAATCTGTTCCACTAAAGCAAAGAAGGTGATAGGAAGTGGATAAAATGAAAACTACATTTATTTAACTCGGTACTGTCTTTATTATACCGGGTGCATCCCAAAAGTGGCTCATCTCCATATTTTTTTTTATATTTCCAAATAAAAAAAAAAGATTTAGTATGTTAGTATATGACATTAATTAGGATTGATTGACGCATTCAATTGTTTTTGGTCACTTCCTCTTTCACCGGAAATGACTATAACTTTTAATTTTTAAACGGCACCCTCGGTATATTTCTACTTGATTCGATAGACAATGACACTCTTAATAGAATGACATATCGTATGTCAACTTTTGACATTTTTGCATATGGTTTAATTGTAATTGTAACACGCGGTTCATAACGACAATTTGACTCAAAATACCAAGTGTGTGGTATCAATATATTCATAAAAAATGCTTTTTCCAAATATGCTAATGAATCACCCTTGTTCCATTTGGAAAAATTGACATATGATTAAAAATACGATTTGTACATCTTTTAACCGGCCTAGACAAGACACGAAACCTATTAGACAATCAAAACTATTTTGCCAAGGCTCCTTGATTAAAACTTAGTGTTTTTAACAACACCATGGCACCCTGGATTGAAATTTAAAATACGATTTGTTTTTAAGCGACATTGTCAAATGTTGACATATGATATGTCATTCTATTCAGAGTGTCATTTTTTATCGAATAAAGTAGCAATATACCGAGGGTGCCTTTAAAAATCAAAAGATGTAATCATTTCGGTAAAACAGGAAGAGACCAAAAACAATTGAATACGTCAATAAATCCTAATTTATGTCATATACCTACTAACATACAAATCTGTTTTTTTATCTGAAAAAATAAAAAAAGTTATAGGGGTGAGCCACTTTTGAGACGACCCGGTATATTAAAAAATATTGTTTCATAATGTAATATCATTTTAAAATTCTTGTATGTTATTTTAGATTCTAAAGATAATTTTAGAATAAACCGGAATATATTTTTAATAAAAACATTATTAATTATTAACAGGGTTATAATTATGATTCTGTTACAATGTAAGTAAGTAAACAACGTAATGTAAGAGAAAAAATTCAGATTTTACATTTTACTAAAATATTATCTAAATAAGCGCCTTTCTACAACAACGCCATTGACTCCTAATGGGTAAATTGAGAGTTTCAAGACTTAAATGAATTATTTAAGTCAAATTTTTCTTGCAAATTTGGCACTGGCGAACCATATTTTATAGTTCTTGAACAGAAAAAGTCAATAAAATAAACACTTAAGGACTACAAGCTAAGAAAATGCGTTAATACAGCCGGGAACATAGCGGCAACAAAGCTTTACCGCACACGTGCGACGCGTACTACAAGGTAATAAATGAATGAATAGGCTCCCTCGCCTCTAATCGGTGTTGTCATATTGTAAAGAACTTATCCTTTTTAAACAGTATCCAACTTATAATTTAGTAGTATAAGGACTATTTAATACATCTATGGAATATTAAAACCTACTTTATTAAAATGTAGTATTAATATCTCAATATATGTGTATAACAAGAAAAAAAATATTGATAATATTAAAGACATGACAACATAGGCTGGATGAGGAAGGCTCGGTCGACTGTACCCAGAAGTAAACATGTGTACAAAAAAGATTGTTTGACCGCGTTGAGATGTAAATAGTGTAGTCTATATTGTATTTTAAGTCTATGGTTCAGATTCAATAAAATCGACGCATAGGGATCAAGAAAAAAATTTCGAAAATTCCAACAATGATATTATTTTCAACAGATGATGGGTCCATTTATTCAAATTTATCACGATCCACTTTTTAATCGTAATAAAAAAGCGTACAGGAATGTTGTTTTCGTTAGATTTTGTAGTTTAAATATATCAGTTATTTGCTGATAATGGTTTAGTGTTGCTAATATATTTTGGTTCTTAGTTCAGAGACTTGGAAATAAATTAAATTATAATGGATTTTGAAGATCAAGGTAAGTACTTTTTAAGAGAATTTTATTAACTTAAATATTTTTTATGAAGCTAGTAGTTACTACAAACATAGCAGAGCGTTCTTTTGAAAAAAAATAAACTTTGAAATTGCGTATCTTTAGAACTCCGCAGATCTCCGCTTCTGTATTTTATAATTTTTAAACGGTATTATAATAATAATAGCTCCCGTATATAGCGTTTAACGCCTTGGGAGTAGCAAGGTACAGCTTGCTATACTAGAGCCGTTCGGTATACAAGGAAGCTAATGTGGCTAGCACTACGCTTCAACCGCCTATTATTACCTCAGGATTGTGAATTCCAAGTACTCATTTAAGGCCGAGTCGACCTAGGTACCCAAACTATTTTTATTTTAATATAATAAAAAATGAAATGCCGGGTGTGGGAATCGAACCCACACCTTGAGATTGGTAGACGAGAGCCTGTACCTCTACGCCACCGGGCACCTTTAAACGGTTCCTCCCGTACTCTATTCCTTTTATTATAGGAACAATAAGCCGCAGATCAATATGTGAGCGGTTTTTGAAAATGGGTTTTAATAATAGGTCAGAAGCGGATATTATTGATGAAATTATTTCATTTTTGTGTGATAATAATATTCCTAACATATTATCGAAAAATAAGCAAATTGAAAATTTTGTTTATAAATGGTCAGAAAAGTGGAGGAAATGTAGTTATACTTGGAGCAGTTTTATTTCCAACAATTGTCTCTGGCTGAATAAAAATTTACTTCAAATGGAAGAGAATCAATCTTTTGATGACCCTGGCCGTTCAAGAAGAATTTTTTTTTCAGAATTGTCCAAGTCCCAAAAAATAAAGAGACCAAAGGTATATATTGCCAAGGAATTAATTTATAATGTCTTACAGAAAAAAAACATATTTTTTTTATCTACATAATGCTGCAAATATTGCATTAATGTTTTTAATTAATGGCAAAGATTAAAAATCAATTTATTTCTAGAAATTAGAGATTCTTACACCTCGGAATTTCGTTTCTAATTTAAGGAAGGAACATAACAATAGCAGTCCAACTAGGGTTTGAATTTCCAGAGAAAGTAGTCGCCACTAAAAATAGGTGAAGATTTACCCGCAGATGACATTCATATGGCAACAGAATATTATTGTCAATCAGATAGTGAAGAAGAACTAGAAGAAAGTGGTGGTGAATCATGTCATGAAGAAAATGAGTTTGAAGACTCCATTTAACGCATATTACAATTTATGTTTTTTTCTTTAATTTAGACCAGGTAACCTAATGGGTATTTTTTTTTTGACTAGGTTCGAAGCATTTTTCAAACCTTTTTAAAAACTATAATTTTTGAATAAAATTCATAGAAAATCCCCCTTTTTTAATATTTTTATACTAAACAAACATAGTCTGAAATATATTTTATTTATTCCTTGGACTATCTTTGTCATGTTAATAAATCCGCCATTAAACCTAATAAGTCTAGAATTTGTAATAAAATTAAAAATATCCTATGCGCCACTTGTTGGCAATCTGAACCACTGTGCGTCGTATATTCGTAGCTGTTAAGTAACTGTGACCAAAATGGGGAAAGATTTTGAGTAGCCGGGTAGTGTCTTGGGTCGCTTTTGCCACTAAAAGAGCTACTATAATGTGTTGCTATAAAGTAGCCTACTGGTGAATGCGACTTATCTATTACGAAGCTGCCTAGTCGTGGGTTTGTGGCAGCGTGTTATCCACCGACATCGACATGTGGAACTTTCGTTAAACTGTCAAACTTTATTTGCAGCGGCCCTTCATTCAATTTCACATTTCATAAAAATAAATATCAGGATGGAACATAATTATGGAAGCCATTATTATTTTTTCGTTATTTACCTGCGATTTTAACGCCTTTTTAGGTAAATTCCAGAACTCAATCGACTTTACTGAATAAAATAGTGGGATTATATGACAAAATTTTCGAGCGCCTCTCAAAATATTTCGAATTATTATATTATTTGCAACAGAAACTCATGTTATAATTAAATAATAATAATAATAATTTGTTTGAAACTGGGGTCAAATTTTAAAATATTAGTCCACCGTCAGAAATAACAAAATAACTAAGATAAAAGCTTTAATCTACGTATATTTAGCTGGAAAACGCAGAATGTTTGAGCCATTTGGCTGTTCGTCTAAAAAAGTCATGAAAAAAATATGGTCGTTTAATCCGAAAAATACTTTATAATTCCATATGCTTCCACAAAGTACCGCGAACAATAGGCCAACCCTACCCGTTTGGACCTTTAAAATCTTCGGATTGATAAAGTGACAATTGTAGCTACCCAAAGGCGACTTTATAGAAACAATAACCGCCTTGTCCTTTGAAGTTCCCATTTTGCGACGCGATGACGTGAATATGACAGTTCAATACAGAATAAGACGGCATTAAATTTTTCGTTTTTCGGTACTCTCAATAAATCGTTCAGAGCTACACGAGGTATAGAGTATTTTAATGCCTTTTAGCTCTGGTTTTATATTGTTGTTGGTTCTCAAATTAATTCTCCACTGAGATTCAGTTTCAGATGAACTAACACTACACATCTACAGAAACAGCTTCAAAAATGTCACAGTCACTACCTGATTTATGATGTTCATCAGTATCAGTAGTAGTAATTTTTGTTTCTGATATTGATGCTTCGGTTCGCAGTGATTCCTTTTCTTTAATTCTTCGGTAGAAAGTACTAGAATATCTAAATTTCTTTTTAGTCACCTTAGGCATTTTTCAAAATTTTAATAAAGCTTAAAAGCAAGAAAAAGAAAACACTAAAACAGAGCAGCACACGATGCAACCTGAGGCAATTACAAAGTAGCCGTTTTTGATCCCCATGACTTTTTAGTGGCAATGGATGAATGACGGCTACTTTATAGTGACCTAGGAAGGTAGCAGTAACCAGTTTGCTACTTTCAATGCTACTATAAATTAGAAGTAACTAGGTGTCGTGGCCGCGACTACCCCGTAACTTAAATTATTGCTATAAAGTAACAAAATTTAATGGAGGCATTATGTTAGCACTAGTTAGTAACCCCGCTGTAATAGATTATATTTATCTTAAATATATTATCTTCATTTCAATAGTAAACATGTAAGTTTTTATTTTTTTTTTATTTTTCTTTACACATCTCTTTTCCCACAAACGTAAATCTGTCAACACTGCGTGCACTATTTTGTCTCTCTGTCTGTCAACCGGTCGTTTATATTTATCTCTGTCGCATGCGTTAAAATATAGACCACGCAGATGAAGTGTCCAGGATGGTATATTAAAATGGAAGCTATTCTTTACCTGTTCGTATAATGGTGCTTTAATCCTTGCAGCAATACCTTGAAAATTTGATAGCGGTGTTTTTTATAAAACGTCTTGTCTCTGGCACTGTATCTGGCAACAGTGATGTTATAACGGGCATCTTTAAAGTATATTCTACAAAACAAATAATAGTAATATTGGGTATAGCCGGATTAATATAGCCTTTTTTCACTCGCACTGAGGGGAACGATTTGGTGTCGAATCAAAATAATTCACCTAAATTTTTAGCTCTTTAACTCAAACGGTTTTCGAGGTTTTCAAAAAAACCTGTTTTTTCAATTTTATTTTTATTTTTATAGTAAAATTCAAAATTAATTAATGATGATTTTTTTCTAATACATAGAAGTCTGAAGACATGAAAAAATAATATGATCATGATTCTTAAACGAAAAGCCGATTTTTAGCGGAGGAAAGAAAATTAAAATCTTCATTTTTTTAACCTTTGTGAAATATATCACTCACTAAAAATCGTCAGAAAATGTCTTTTATACTCCGTTACACTCAAGAAATTTTTAGAATTTTTACTAAACCCAAAATCTCGTAGAGAACTTTTATGAACATTCTGGTTACGACGTTTGATGTCAACGATGTTTGTTCAGCAGAACCTAAAGTTATATTGAATATTCGAATGGTAATACACTGTGTGACATACAAACTGCAACACACAGTATATGCTTAGCTTTTTTTATAATGTTTGATCGGTTGATTTCCTGCATGAAGTAAGTGTGTAGTAAACGATAAAATTTTTATCCCAGCACGTCACCTCTAGGTTTTTGGACAGGAACAGTTATACTTCGTTACACTCAGGAATTTTTTAGAATTTTTTGAAGTGGTGGAACAATATGAAAAAAAAAATAAAAACCATATATTTCCTAAAATCTTCTGTTTTAACTAACTTATATTTTTGTTTAGATTAAAAAAGTGAGTAGAAAATATTTTTTCATTAAAAATACATCCTTGCCAGAAATATACATAGAGATTATTATAAAAAAAATGGCGCCGGGAGGCACCGCCCATACTAAAATATGTTAATAGAAAGTTAAGGAAGTAAAGGAATTTTTTCAATTTTTTTTATCTCAAAAACTGCGACTTTGATTGATTTAGATGTTATTACAAATTTTGTTGCAAATATTATTCCTAATCTTAAATTGAAAACCGCGTTTCGTTAGCTACTGTAATTTTGGAGTTACGATTTTTTAAATTTTTAACCCCCTCCCATACCCCCTTACCAACCCCCACCCCCACCAAAATATAATGGCCAGATTCTCGGGTGCCACAGTATATTTGTGCCAAACTTGGTTAAAATGGGTTTAGCGGTTTTTGAGTTATCGTGTTACAGACGGACAGACGGACAGACAGCCAGACAGACACCATAAAAATATTTTATATTTACATCATTTATACATCATTTATGACCGAAATAACTCATTTTGAGTGAAATTAAAAACACTTTTGTAAAACTTGGAAAATAAGTTCGTCATAATAATGCTTTTATTTATTCACTATTCTAATAAACAATATGCATTCCTTCGGAAACTCTTTATTTATTTATCTAGTAATGCTAAAACACTCTATTTTAAAGTCGATTAGAGAAAATAGTATGATTCATTGGCAAGTAATGTAAATAGTTCGTAGTTGATAGGCTGGCCGGCTGTTGTGTTGTGTCTTGTCATAGAGCTGATATTTGAGAGTTGAAAGTCTTTTGACTATAAACGTTGCAAGTACTGTAAGGCAACGGGTCGTTTGACCATGAGAAGAAAACCTCTTGTGACGTCTTGCCTTCGAGGTTGGTCTTGAGAGTTTGAGGTCTCCCTTGTCTTCTCGATTGACACGATGCGGCGTTGGGGTAGTGGGCTACCCCAATTAGCCTATTCGATTGGGATGCGAATCTGTTTAGCGGCAGATTTGCGTCCGGAGGAAGCCCCTATACTATTTCAGGTGACACTAGCTAGTTGTTGAAGATGATTAACCAATATATAACCGAATGATATTTGAATTAGAAAATATGGAATGGGATATATTGAATAGAATATATCAGTGGCTAGGGGGCGGAGTACCCCCGGGTGAGTCTTACCATTTAACTATCAATTTTATCCAGATCAGTAAACGTTTGTTTTGTTATTTTCATGTACAATGAGAGAGTGCTTGCCAATGACCAACTAAATGGATATTTGAGGTGAATTTGCATTGTGAGACCCGGTTGAGTAAGCCTCAGAAATAAGCGATTTTACACTTTTTTGTCGATCAATAGCTTACCATACCTGTTGGTATGGTCGGCTCTAAATGAAGATATATTATTATTTATTCACCTGGACGCGAATTTTTAAAGACTCAGTCTTTACGTAATCATTGCATATGATTGCAAATGTGTAATAAGCGGTATCATTGTTAATTTGAAGTAAAAAATATATATATTTTCTACGCACATTTTTAAACTAAAAAAATATAAGTTAGTTAAAACAGAAGATTTTAGAAAAAAAAAGAGTTTTTAAGATCAGGAGAGTGCACACTCCCTGAGTGCAATGAAAAAAGAGATTTTAGAAGAAAAAAAGTTTTTATTCTTTTTCATATTGTTCTACCACTTCGCAACATATGTTTACGAAAATTTCATTAAAAAGCAACAATTTGCATGCTTTTTAAACAAGTTGTATGTTTTCCGTCAGGAACGGTAAAGATCAAAGAATGTTGACAACATTGTGTTGGCAACATGTTGCGATTACATCCACATTGACTTTTTGTATTCGTTTATTTGGGTGTCATCTTTAGTTTTGTTTAGTCGGTTCACCGGTGTACATCATGGAGTGGAGCAAATCGTTTAACAAATCACTGCAACTATATTTTTTCCGTGAACACAGAGTAGGGCGCACACAAAATCTTCGTCTTTTCTTATTTTTTTCTCTGCATGCTAAAATTACGCAAGCTGCAGCCGCGAGAAGAACATCCCTTTCGCCGGACATATTGGAATGGACTAAACAATAAAAATGTTGCATCGGGCTTCCAATTTCCAACTTTTTGAATGTGGACGTCCTAAAAGTTGCCAACGAGTTGCTGCAACATGTTGTTAAGCGAGGACGGGTCTTAAAAGAGTATAAAAGACATTTTCTGACGATTTTTAGTGAGTGACATATTTCACAAAGGTTAAAAAAATGCAGATTTTAATTTCCTTTTCTCCGCTAAAAATCGGCTTTTCGTTTAAGAATCATAATCATATTATTTTTTCATGTCATGGTTTGGTTTCAAAAAATTATCTCATCATGTTCTTGTCTTGGTTGGAAAAAAATCATCATTAATTAATTTTGAATTTTAGTATAAAAATAAAAATAAAATTGAAAAAACAGTTTTTTTTTGAAAATCTCGAAAACCGTTTGAGTTAAAAAGCTAAAAATTTAGGTGAATTATTTTGATTCGATACCAAATCGATCCTCTGAGTGCGAGTCAAAAAATCCGCGGAGGCAGATTTCCTATATTAATCCGGCTATACTTTGATCGCAAATTTATTAAAGGGATTATTTTGGTTTGTTTTTTTTTCGTATAAGGTGTATTCGAGCATTTACTTAGGCCTTTCGAATTCCATCTTGTTATTCTGCCTGTCGAGCAGATTCTGAAAAATCCTTGTGGCGAAGAGATGTTGAATCGCATTATCAGATTCCAGCATGGTCCAGATGTTTGTTATCAAATCGTCCGGGAACGATTGAACGAACGTGGTACTTACGTACCGCAACGCTGCGTACTCGGCAATGCTTCCCAAGCATAGCGTTGTCTCATCGTCCATCTCTTGAAGACTTATCGTCTTTATTATGATAACTAACTAAAAATGAAATAAGATAAAAAAAAGCTTTTAAAATTGAGCATTCTTATGGTATGGTATGTTTTCCAACTGTCTGGAAACCAGGGTGACCAACTAAGAATGGATGCCGGCTGTTTCTCAGAAACTACTTATTGTATAACTTTGTGAAAAAAATTTAGTAAGTAAATGGACCAAGGAAAATCGCTGAAAATTATTTCGAAAAGTTCGAAAAATATCCGCTAGGTAGCGCATATATGATTGCCAATCAGAAAACAGGATTTTTCTCAAAAATATGCAGGTAAAAAGGGATAGCGTATTTTGATCTATCTCATAAAGTAAAGTGGTGTAGGAAGGCTAAACTTGCTTCTATTAAAATAAGGATAACTCTGGTTTAGGTTAGCCAATATAAACAAACTAGGGCTCGTTTAAAAGAGCTTTTCTTTTTTAATAATCTCCAGTAAAAATTTTATTTCCACAGATTTTTTCGCGGTAACTTGAAGGGGCTATTTGACATCAAAACAGATATTGCGCTTTTGTATAAAAAAATTAAATAGCAGGTTATGTTTCTTTTTGCACAATTAAATAGAGCACAAAATTTCCCAGATATCCGCGCAAACCGCAACTTTCTGTCTTTTCTCTAACGGGAGATATTAAGAGAACAAATCATGTTAAGCCTTCGCACAGTGGATCGACCCAATGCAATTTGCTGGACAGTCAGCAATTATGTATTATTTCTAAATTAAAACTTTTTTTTAATAAATGAGTTCTAAAATCTCCCAATTTGTTAAAAATAGTCATAACTTTATTATAGATAACTTACTGAATAGTGCAGAGGTGTTTTCCCAGAATATTTTATTTGAATTTCGATATTAAATTGACTATTACCAATTAAACTGCATAATTTCATACTTATTCCATAACTTAATGAACTTTTTATCATATTTTTATTCTATATGAATTATGACCTTGCGATTTGTCCAGTTCTTTAATACCAGCATGTATTCAATAACAATATAAGTATTATTAAATAGTGTATTACAAAAAATTAAATTTTAATTTTGAGTTTTAAAAAAACGCTTAAATATGCATAAACTATTTTTATATCTGTCATTTTTGTTAAAGGTTCTTTAAAAGAAATATAAAAAAAAATACTGCCACTTGCCCCTTTGGAAAATATACAGGGTGGGGCATTACTACCAGAAAGTCCAATATCGTATTTGTTGACAAATATATGAAAAAAAGTTCTATAGATGTTGTATAGTTTAAAATGGTGCATATCCTAAAAAGATATTTTGTTATATACATGGTGTCCCAAAAAAGCCATGAAAAAGCTTTAAGTATTTTTTTAAATTGCACTCCTAATTTTTTGGTACGTAATTGGATATAACATAAAATTTTGCATATAGTACCTCATCTTCATCTCATTCACGTAAAATATACAGGTCCAATTAAATTAAACAAGTTATTGCCGTTTAAAGCTAATAATTATTTAGATGCAATTATTTAAATTTTAATCATTATAGACACTCTGTATGAGGTAGTATTATTTTTACTATTGCACAAAATCTAGTAAGTACAAAAATTTCTGTACTATGTTTAATTTTAAAAACATAAATATGCCTAGAGAAATAAAGTATTAAAATTGTTAGTGTTTTTTCACAAAATCGTAAATATTTCAGAAACGGAAAGATAAAAGTGCCGTAAACCTTAATTAAATTACGTTTATTTTAATCGTAAAAACTAAAATTGTAATAATGTACAGGGTGTTCCATTTAAAACAATACAACTTTGATATTTTTTATTTATTTGGGGCACTCTGTAACTTTCTCTCACTCTGTAACTTTACAATACTCCGTGTCGAATAGCGTGAACAACCTTGTATACTGATAGCTAATGTCAGGCAATTTTTTTACTAAAAAATAAATATGACGAATGAAATCTTGTTAGTTAGTGGTCAAAGTTAATAGTATAAGAAATATATCACAAGTAATTTGGTAAAAATCATCCATACATTAGGAAATACTTTTGGAAATACCGTATTTAGTATTATATATAAGCCGCCATCTTGAATTCTTGGAAAAATCAAATTTGGGACTAAAATTAAATACTTAATGGTCGTTTCTCTTCAAAAAAAATCAAAAATGTCCAAATCAGACTAATAGTTCTAAAACAAAAGCAAATGTCCAAAACAAAGAGAGCCCTAGTTTGTTTAAATCGGTTAACCCAAACCAAAGTTATCCTTACTTAAAAAAAGCAAGTTTAACCTTCCTCCATCACTTTATGGGGTAGAGCAAAATACACTATATCAAAAAAATTGCAAATTTCGCATAGATTACAATAGCAATGTTTAAAATGCCTCTTCCCCTGCATATTCTTGAGAAAAATTCTGTTTTCGGATTGCCCATCGCAGATACGTCCTCTAGCGGACATTTTTCGAACTTGAAAATAATTTCTAGCGAAATCTCTTGGCCGATTTACTTATTAGAATTTTTTTCCCAAAGTTATACGATAAGTAGTTTCCGAGATAGAGCCGGCGTCCATTAGTTGATCACCCGGTACATCAACAGTAATACTATTAGTGATGAGGAAATGCAGGACTGCATACAAATGCAATGGTCTCGCAGTCTAAATGTAGTCTTGGTCTTTTTTTGGTCTATATTTGAAAAAAAAAATTCTAATGTTCTAATGTGAATAAATTGACATAAATAATAAAACGAATAAGTAACCAAGAAAAAAAAAATAAGTGTTTACCATTGTCATCAAATCTTCGTTATTTAAATTTTTGGTAATGTTTCTAATACAAATAGTAAGTCCGCTTTTCATAGGTCCATAATTATAAAAATATTTTGGTTTGGGATTAAAACTTTTTATCAATATAATTAGAAACCTTCGAATCATATTTTCAGATATGTGACTCCATTTGACTAAACCCAAAATCTCGTAGAGGACTTTTATAAGCATTCTGGTTTCCACGTTTGATGTCAACGATGTTTGTTCAGCAGTACCTAAAGTTATATTGAATATTCGAATGGTAATACACTGTGTGACATAGAAACTGCAACACACAGTATATGCTTAGCTTTTTTTATAATGTTTGATCGGCTGATTGCCTGCATGAAGTGCAGTAAACGATAACATTTTTATCCCAGCACGTCACCTCTAGGTTTTTGGACAGGAACATGAATGCCCCTACATTAATAACTTAACAACTCCAAGATAAACTTTCCAGCAAGACAATGCCAGAACACATTCCGCTGCGGCTACTAGAAACTAGTACCACAGCTAGTAGCCGCAGAAAACTTCCCATAAGCTAATGTAAAAAGGTAAGTGTCCATTTGAGAGTAATTCGTGCGAGTGACTCTCGATAATCACTCAAAGAGAGTATCCATTTGAGAGCGATTTAAAGAATTTTTGCTATCGGCTAGATAACTAAAAACTCTCCAAATGCTTACTCTCATACATATCTGTCAGGAGGGTATCCATTTGAGATTTCTGTTTCATCAACTGCCTTTCTTTGTGTATTAACGTGTTTTGTGTTTTTTTTAATCAATTTAGTTATTCCCTCATATAAAACTTTACAACACATAAAAAATACATATCATAGATCTGGGTGTCGTCCTTCTTCATCTGTCGCATCAGTGACCTGTTGGTACCAGATCCTGGCCAGATGGTATCGAAGGCATTCTTTTCTTAATTATTTTTGTCGTCGATTTCTGGATTTAGTGTATGGTTTGGTTTGGTTGTGATATTTTATCTATTTTGTGTGATATTTTACTATTTAATATTAACTATTTAATCCTCTTTTTGAATTGTATAAATTTCAATTTTTTTACCTTCTCTGCTAAACTATTGAATGTTTGAATTGTTTTTGCTGTTAGTCTCTGTGTTAATGTCTTATTTTTTACTTTATGGCTTCTAATATGTGACTTTTTCCTTGTTTGGTAATTCTGAACTTCCTTGTTTGTATTTAATTTAATATTTAGCAAGCTATTAAAAAGTATTAATTGTTTTATATCTAGTTCTTGCACTGTATCAAATAATATGTGTGTTGGTGTTCTTTTGTGTAATTTATATATTAATTTTAAAATTTTATTTTGTTGATGTTGCAATGCGTTTAAATTCTTTTTGGTCGTATTACTCCATATATTCATTAAATAATTCATTCATGAGCATCCCATTTCAAATTATTTTGTATTTTTAACCCTAAATAGTTGATTGTTGATGTTTCTCGTAGAATATGGTTTTGTAGTTTTATTTGTAAGTTTAATTTTTGTTTTGTGGTTTTAAATATCATATATTTTGTTTTTAGCTCGTATAGTTAGGAGATTGTTGTAGCACCATGTTTGCACTTTTTGCAGGTTTTTGTTGATGTTTGTTTCAAAGATGTTCTGATCTGTTCCTGTATATACTAAACATGTATCATCGGCATATCCATATATGATGCTATTTAATGATTTAATGCTAGTTCGCAGAGATCGTTTGTATAAAGGATATACAGGAGAGGTGGTAGATTCCCTCCTTGCGGTATCTCATATGGCGCCATGGTAGTTTTACTTTCAATATTTTCCATGCAAATTTTTTGTGGTCGATTTTTTAAATAGCTTTCCGTTAGTTCTAGTATGTGTTGACTCAGTTTGTATTTTTGTAATTTTTTATTTAATTTGTTAGTGAATGAATAAATCGTCCTATTGCTGCCAAAAGTCACTAACTAACATTTTTCCGAACAACCAAATTCAATCACTAACTATGTTTTGAAGCGGAGAATCGATTGCAAAAGTCATTAACTACGATTTCTGGTTATTTATGTTTTATTGTAATACCGAATAGTTACTAACTATAACATCTTTATGCAATGCAGATGAATTGCAGACGCATTTTTCTCGGAAGTAATAAAAAGTAAGTTAGTGACTTTTGGCAGCAATGGGACGAAATGAATAAATAATATGTATAATGTGAAAGAAACATAGAAGTGCAGATAGTTAATCCCAATGACTAAAGAATATAAGGACATGTAACGCCCCTATACGGGCTGCAGCAGAATTTGTGACGTTTTTTTTGTTGTTTTGGTGGCAAACAATGAGTCATCATTTGGTCACCAGCGACAATTTTAGCGATTTTTAATAGTTTGTGTGTAGTAAACTTTGTATAAGCTTTATTACAATGGTGATTAGTTGTTCAGCTTTCAAGTGTAAAAGCAGTAGCGATAAGAAAGAGCCAGGAGTTACGTTTCATAGGTTCCAAACAGTCCACTCCAACTTTTTAGCGTTTTTTTATTGAATTCGATAATTATTCTTCAATTACAGTTGAGGGTTGGAACCTTTGGTGTTACACAGCAAAATAAAAACACTAAATCACCACAATACACCAAAACACTTTTACTTTTACACTGGACGCGCGTTTCGCTAACCATGTTAGCATCATCAGCAGATGATTATAAACTAAAGTACAATCTACAAGGTGAGCGTTTATATATATGCTCGCTCAGTGGGCACCGAGTGGGCGTGGCAAAATCTAGCCAAACCGAGTCAGAGCCAACTGAGCGTAACAGTTAAATTTCCGCCACTAGAGTAGTAGGAACAAAGAACTTGAAGGAATTGGACCGTTGACTCTGTTCATACTATCTTTACATTTATTAATTCTGATGCTTTCATATGCATCTAATTGCTTGTAATTTGAGACTTGTTTAATTAATTTTAAATTATTAAGATCTATACAATGTTCTTTATCAACAATATGTTCGGCAACGCAAGATTTATCCGGTCTACCATATCTTATCTGAGCTAAATGTTCTTTAATCTAGTTGATATTGATTACAATCTTTACAAGAAATTTCATAAATACCCGACCTTTCCAGTGGAGGTGTTTTATCCTTTGGATGACCTAATAATTATTGTAATTTATTATTAGCACTATACACAAGTTTATAATTGACATTCTTTTAAATTCCTTTTAGACCACGGGATAGCTGTCTATCAAACGGTATTGAAAAAAATTTAGACGTATCTTTCTCCACTTGAAAAGTCGAATTTTCAGAAATCATATACCTACGTTTTCTAATTAATTTATCAACTAATGAAGGAGAATATCCATTACACTCAGCTACATTCCTAATGTAATCTCTTTCTATTTCATATCTTTTGTTGGAAAGTGGGAAACTAAGTAATCTATGAACTAAGAAATTTAAACTAGCCATTTTATGTTCAACACTATGATGTGATTCATTAGGAATATATCTGCGTGTGGTGTTATTTTTCCTATAGATATCAAATTCCAGGTAACTATTAGTATTTCTAATAACTAATACATCTAGAAATGGTAATCTGTCGTTGTTCTCAATTTCATGCGTAAATTTAACGGAAGGAAAACGATTATTTAACTTAGAAATAAAATTATCTATGGTGTCTGAATGTGTGTCAAAAACAGCAAAAATATCATCCACATACCTAAACCATACTCTTGGAAAATACTCAAACTGATTCTTAGCCTCCACTTCAAACCTGCTCATGAATAAATTAGCCAAAAATAGAGACAATGGATTACCCATTGCTGTACCTTCCCGCTGTTCAAAAAAGTTGTTATTAAATTGAAAACAATTTTGTTTCATACATAACATATAATATATATAGGATAAATCTTGCGTTGCCGAACATATTGTTGATAATGAACATTGTATAGATCTTAATAATTTAAAACTAATTAAACAAGTCTCAAATTACAGGCAATTAGATGCATATGAAAGCATCAGAATTAATAAATGTAAAGATAGTATGAACAGAGTCAACAGTCCAATTCCTTCAAGTTCTTTGTTCCTACTACTCTAGTGGCGGAAATTTAACTGTTACGCTCAGTTGGCTCTTACTCGGTTGGCTAGATTTTGCCACGCCCACTCGGGGCCCACTGAGCGAGTATATATATAAACGCTCACCTTGTAGATTGTACTTTAGTTTATAATCATCTGCTGATGATGCTAACATGGTTAGCGAAACGCGCGTCCAGTGTAAAAGTAAAAGTGCTTTGGTGTATTGTGGTGATTTAGTGTTTTTATTTTGCTGTGTAACACCAAAGGTTCCAACCCTCAACTGTAATCTTCGATGGCTTCACGGTCAACGGAACTGAATCTTTATCGTAAGTTTAGTACTAAGATTAGGTTATTAGGTGCAGATATTTGGTTTCTTAAATCATGCAAAGCCAATTCAGTTTATCCTAGTTTTATTAAAGTTGATATTCCGAAAAGTAACGTTAGTGATAAGGTAGAGAAAATTGCAAAACAAAAATGGCTTGATTTAGAAATCAAATTTCTGTATAGTAAACGAAGTAGGCTTGAAATTGAAGCCTATGGACTTTACAAAAAACTTACTTATAAGCTAACTAATGTAGAGTATGAATGTTGGTGTCTCTTTCAGAGAAATATGTTTGTGGTTATCAATTCAAAATTTGTTAAAAAAATGTCCATTTTGAATAGTAAGTTTAAAAAATTAAAAAGCTCTAAAAACAAACATGTTTTCCAAAGAGACATAAACATAGTAGAGAATCTTTCTTCGCAGACTTTTGATAAACAAGAGCTCAGTTTATTAAACAAAGGTTTAAAGTTTGCATTGCCCAACTCTGGTAGCGCTTTGGAGGAAATCGTCGTTGGTGTTGAAACTGCTATTCAGCACTTGCCCGAGGCTTCTAAAGTATTTGCAAGAGAGGCTTGTAGAAATCAGTTATCAAAAAATATCGTTTCAAGTAAATCATTAAAATCTAACAAGGAGCACAATATTGTCAAGAGTTTGCGTAACAAAGATTGTTTCTACCTAAAAGCTGATAAGGGAAATAAGGTTGTTATATTAGATAAAAAAGACTATTACGATAAGGTTAACAACTTAATCGATAATGGCCCCTACATAAATTTGAAAAAGAATCCTTTGTCTAAGATGGTAGCAGACGTTAAAAAAACTCTAAAAGAATGTAACACCCTTATTGATCTTTCTTTAAAGAGGAAATTGCAAGTATCCAATCCCTC